CACAGACCCTCCCTTCACACTTTATCCCTCTATCCCCCCCCCCCACACACACACCAGTTAAAGCACCAACACACAAATTTAGCACGTTATACTACTGCAAATAATTAATTATGTATGATAATGACCAAGTTCTGAGGCCTTTGAGAAAGTGCGTATTTTAGAGAGAGAAATGTAGCTTCCAAAAAGACTGTGTGGCAACAATTAAGCCAGAAGTTATCCTTCAGAAAGAGCATCTTTTTAGACCTACCAGTACAATCTTATATTCCTTAATAAGCCATTACACTGGTCATGACAGAGGCAGGTATATACAGGCATATATCAGGTGCCTGCACTGTGTTCAGTACACTGGGTCCTCCAGGTGAGTTACAAGAGCAAGAACAGCTAAACAAGTAGTGCCTGGAGATTTAGCAGTGATGGCTTTTTCACAGGTGGCAATAACATTCAGGTCATATTTTAGTAACCTTTAATCTTAAATTCTGAGGCTCAATTTAATAACCTGTAAAAATGCAGATTTAGATTATTCTAATATAAACTAGTTGCTTTCCTGAGCACAGACATAAGTGTTTGGGCAATAAATCAGTGATGAAGACAATGGCAGGAGGAAGGAGAAGAGCTCAATAAGCTGTAATTAAGACATACCACAGTTTCCTCCAGCCCCTTGAGATCTTCTCTTGCTTGTTCCCTTTTATCATTCAGCAATCTAGAAAGATCACAACATTAAACACAAATCAAAAGCATGAAGTCATGTGTGAGCAAAGAACATTAAGCAACATTTAATCTTAAGTGTATCTGCTGCTCTGCACAAATTGCACCTCTCTTTGCACCTCTCTTTTCTTTTGTCTATCTACTGACATGCAGCTTTCTCACAACTAACAACTGAGCCACCACCTCCATTTTGGCAAGTGCTTCTGTCCACATGGGAAATTCTCTTATTTCCAAGAAAGGCACTTTCCTCACACATTTAGCTCATTAGAAACAGAAACATCTTTTTTTTCTTGTTTGGTTTTAAGGAGTGGAGGATTGATGAATTGCTATGACATTTCATAAAATCGTAGCTCTTAATACGTACATACATACACACACACTCCTACACGCACATCTCCGCATCCTCTAGAAAATAAGCACCTACACTGAGTAAGTGGTAAGAATTTTTTTTTTTAAAACACTAAATGGTGGTATTTTACCAAAATTATATTTTCAGTGTGCATATTTTGATATGAATGCTTCTGACTAGCCTATCTCCTACAGACACATTAAAAATCATTACATTCAAGGACGTTAACTGCAAAAACCATTGACTTACATGAGCTTTTCCAATTTCATTTCTCTTTCCTGGTCCTCAATTTTTAATTTATCATAATCAGCAGTCAGTTTCTCTTGTTCCAGCTGCAGCTTCTGATTCATACTGGAATGCAAAAGAACTAAAGTCAGCACATCTCAGTCCTGAACACCACAAACAAGCGCAGGTAAATCTAAATGCACAGAGCTGGGTTAAATAAAGTAAAACTGTAACTCCCTACTGATCATTTCTGAAAGAGAGCAAGCAAAAGCATCTGAGGAGCAATATTTTTCTCTTAAAAGTGTAACTGAATACAGTCATCTGTAATTTCTCCTCCCTTGTTCCTTCTACATTAAAGGACAAAATGTTCTTGCAACTGTTCTCCCCTGCTTCCTCATGTTTGTTATTTCCCTCTGATTAGTTGGCAGTCACACTACAAGTCTGATGAAAGAGTAAACAGTATTGGAATTGCCCAGATTTAACAAACAATTAAAAACCTAAGAATACAGTAATAAAGATCTTGGTTTTCCAAACATATTATACATAACAAGTCTAGCAAGAGTGTCACAAGAATACTGAGATAGTAACAGGGTTGTTTTGAACACATTTTGGGGTATCTAATTAACAGAAACATATTTCCACATCAGGAGTCCACACCAAGGTGAGAAAATAGGATTTGAGTTACCCAAACTCTCAGAAAGCCTGTGACAGGGTCCTCAAAATTTATGGGTTTAGATCTATTATCCTCAAAGATTCTATTATCTAGCAACCTGTAGATATAATATTATTTTTTCTTCATATCTATAATTTTATAGAACTGTAATGGCTCCACAATAAAAAAAAAAGGCACTTTAATCCACAATGCAAAATAGATGGTTGGCTGTTGAATATATGAATACTCGTGTCTGTGAAACTCTGAAATATACAGATACTAAAAACAAACAGAGCTAACCAAAAAGAACAGTCCTAGAAGCATCACAGAAGAGTAAAGGCACAAGAGACAGAGCAAATGAACGTACTCTCTGATTTCATCAATTATTTTCTGCTTCTCTTCAATCTCATCTCTCAGCCTGGACAGCTGCTTCTGATGGGCTTCCCTGTGACTCTCCATCTGCTGCTCCAGGGCCTTCTGCAGATTGCAAACACAAAGCCACGCGCTAGCGCAGAGCAGGCGCCCCACGGCCACGCTCCTCTTCACGCAGCGCCTGAACCAACCCAGCATCTCGCATTTGAAGTGTTCATCAAGGCAGTACCAAAATTGGGGTGCCTAAGCTAAACATTTGATTCAGATGCAGCTTTTAGTTTCTAAGTTGCATCAAATCAACTCCACTATCCCAAATTCACTGCTTTTAACTACGTAACTTCAACTGAGTTCCAGTGGCATAAAATTGCAGTAACAGAGGTGAAACCATACCATTCCTCAGGCACATGGAAAGCTGTTCCCAAATCCAATATAGTGGGTATTACATTTTGATTTACTGTTCATGACGACTTGTGTAAACCAAACATCAATCATGGAACCTCTTCAAAATCGTGGGAGGTGGCTCAGTTTACAAACTGTTCTCCGAAGACACAGTCACCTCAGATAGTCTGGCTATAATTTCCTCTCTCCTCCCATAACATGATCCCCAGCAGCAACACCAGCAAGCTCTTCAGTTTCAAATTGGGAAGGTCATGCAATTACACAAGGTCACGTTTTCTAATACAAGTTGGCAGTTCTGACGAAGTCTGGAAACGTTTTCGAAAGAGCACTACATGTGCACAGGAAGACAAAACTATACCCTAATTGCCAGCTTAATGAACAGCCTCCCCGTGAAATGCACTCTAAATTGTAGCATGCAATACTACCTTCATTTCCTCTGCATCCTGAAGCCGGGTCAGATGTTCCTTCTCCTTATCCTTGAAGCTGACTTCATGCATTTTTTCTGTTTTACAGTTTGAGAGAGTTGAGAATTAGCCAAACGGCTCTAGCATGTGCAAAATATTTAAAAAGTTCCCCTTTGTGGAGCGAGCAGCTTTGGAGGAACAGAAACGGCCACAGCCCTGCAGTATCCTACATCTAAAACTTTTTTTTTTTTTTTCTTCTCGCTACCAGCTCCTACTTTCATACTTTTTCTTTCAATACACTCGGTACCTTTCCAATCTGCTCTTGCCTCCTCACAACTCTGCTTACAGCAATTCTCCTCATCTCCTTTTGCCTTCTGCTAGGAGACAGTGGCCTCTAGAACCAGACCACTCCCTTACAAGGAGGATGGGAATATCAGGAGGTAGAATAAAAAGCCACTCAAAACTCATGCAGGAGATGTTTAAACAAGTTCTGTCACCACCTGCTGCTCCTGGAGCCAGAGAAGATCCCTTGTGCAACAAGTCTGGAATCATGTTAAAGCTATTAGGTAGCTATTACATTGTAAATAGGAGCTTAATACTAGAAAAAAATGCTTTTGAAATCATGTGATGCTATTCTGCCAGTTTTTTCATGTTTAGATTTCACAGCATTTCTACGAGACATATATGAGCATTCTACTCACAAAAGCATAAAGCGAGGGTCTTCACATAATTTTTCAAAAGAAGCAAAACTTAAGTTTTTCTGCATTCTGTGAATGGACTAGGCTGAAAGGGTTAATCTTTCATCTTAAGCATAAACTACAAATACATGCAGTGTGGTGAATATTCTGATTTGTAATTTCATGGTTTCACTGCAAATACTAAACAGAGAGAAAACTGCTGTGGTACTACAAAGGAAATAGTTCAACGTCTAAACACAACTTGCATAGTTAGGTCTTCTACCAGTGCACTGAAATTTCTGAGGTCAACTAAGTGAACTAAAATCCTGTTCAATCATATTTCTATGACATTGAGGTATGTCTATGATAAAGGAAGAGAACAGGATGGAAAGCCATACAGTACAAACTCGAGTGAGCAGGATAAGTGACAATAGGTTCTACACATAATTTTCTCAGATGTAGTTGGTAAAATGAAAGACTCAACACTGTACCTTGAGCACGTAGCTTGGCAAGTTCTTCATTGAGAGAGTCTTGTGATTCTTCCAGCTGCCTTCTCTTCTGCTCCATATTTTGCATGTAGTCTGTCAAGGACTTGATCTTTGCTTCATGCTTGGAAAATACAGGGAAATAGTAATGAGATTAAGTACCATTCCTCATCATCTAAAAATTCAGATGCCTGAATTGCAGATGGCTAGCAGACAATACCAAGAAGCAATCAAACAAACAACCCCACACAGATAAAGAGGTAGAGAAATACCTAGAAGACCTAGTCTGATAACAAAGAGCTTCAGAAGTAGTGATAGAGGATGCAAGATAAAACAGAGCACAGGCACAAGGTGATAAACGGTGGGGCAAAGGCTCAGCACTGGAGACCTTGTGTCTATGAACATCAGTGATCAGTTAACAAAATGCAGACCTGGAGCTAGACAAATCTAGACTAGGGGTAAAAGAGTAAAGAAACAGCATCTAATTTATATGAGAGGCACAGCATATAATAAATTTGGTTGTAAAGTAACTGCAGACCAGGGAAAAAAGAGCACAGTTCAAAAGCACGCGAGCAAACAAAACTGATCCCAAGTGGATCCTAGAGCAAGGAGCACTCTCAAACACTCCTCTTTCCCAGAGGAAAGTCATCAGCATAAATAGTACATTCCTCTCCACAAGGAGGCCCAGATGCTGACAAGTCACCATTAATACCCCCACCAACATTACCACAATGAAACCATCAGCATGGGGATCCAAAGGAGCAGGGCAAGGGCAAGCCATCTTTAGAAAAATATCAGAAACTATCCCTATGTAAAATCATGTGTATAGAAACTTTATGTATCTTCTTGTTAATTTTTTTTCCTGTATAGAAGCATTCTTTTTTTTCTGTAACAAACTGAGGTGGCCAAACAAAGCTTAAATTTAATGTTTCAATTATACTAACAACAAATCTTCAGTTTTATAAGCCCTTTGCCTATGAGCAAGCTTTTGAGCAAAACACCCCCCAGCTTCTTCCTGGTTTTGAGGAAGGATTAGTCTCCATATGATCTCACTTTCAGGGCTTCCAAAATGCTACAGCAAGGTGATGACAGTCTGGGAGTATTTGTGTGGTTTCTTCACCACATCAACACAAAACACAAACGTCAAGAAGGCGAGGTTGCAAGGCTGCAGCATCTTATATCATCCCTTTCCACAGCTTCACATAAGCCACTCAAGTCTTTACTGAGGCAAGTTCCCAAGGAAATGGATGACTTCCTTTAGTGGCAATGCCAGCTCAAAGTATCCTTTAAGATATCATAAAAATTGACAGGTTTATTTAATATTCTTGGACAGTCAATATCTCCAGGACTATACCCTCCCTGCTTACACATGCTTATAGCTATTACTGAAGATCTTAATACAGACATTTTATTGCAGAACAAGGGATTATCCCTGCCTGAGGTTTTCTTGGCTAGCAGGTGGCAAGTGAAATGCAGTAAACCCAGATCATCTCTCCACTTCACGTATACATCAATCAGAGCTAAGTAGGTTAAAGCAGTTGCCCCCTCTCTGCAAGATGCTACAGCAGCAGTGCTTGCAATGTGCCACCTACTGCCAAGTCCTCCTACCATCTGGGTTTCTAACTTACATGATTATGTTTTCCATAAAGTACCATTTTACATATCACTGCCTAGCTAGCTGCTAGCATCCTAATGTGCAGATACTGGGGACTTGCACTGTTTTGCTCATGAACCTAATAATCCTCGCTTCTTTTCTCAGGTGAAAGTGAAGGTGCAAGATACAAATACATGGTGAGAAAACCTGAGGAGGATTTTGACTATTATCCCATAAAAATATACCAAGATCTATATGGAGAACATGATCTTACCACAGAATATGCTCAAAAACATTCAGAGAGGAAAAGGAGAAAAGAGAATTAAAAAAACATGGAAAAGCAACACTGTTCTTTCATCACTCTCTGCGCACACATTGCACAGAGAAGGAGGCTGAGAAAGTCAAACCTGACTTCAAAGGGATGAGGGCGAACAACATACCTGTGAGATGAGGAGCTGGCAAGCTGCTAGCTCCCTCTCGCTGGCGTTCATCTTCCTGTTGGAGTCAATCTGGGCACTCTCTAGCTGCTTGCTGCGGTTCACAAGAGATTTCACCTCGGATTTCATCTTGCTGATGTAGAGCCGCGCCATGGTGAACTCTTCTTCAATCACCCCATTCACATCTGCTAACTAAACACACAAGATTGCAATCCTTAGGATGTCTTTCTTCAAGAAAACAAATCAAGGCAAACAGTCTTCTTGCTGTGAACCAGTTGTCTAAAGCTGGACAACCTCCATGGGAACCCAACAACGCTCAAAGAGTGTTTAAGGATCTCCAGGTCACCTTGAAAGTTCTCATTTCATTGACAAGCCTCAAAAGCAAGAAATTCAGAGAACAGCGTGCTTCATCTGCTTAGTGACTCAGCAGCTAAAATAATCAAGTCCACCTGGTAAGAGCATATTTTGACAGAAGTTTTTCATGCAGCAGCACAGAAAGGTTTTCTCTCAAGCAATTGAAGGCTGAGGTGCATTTTCAAACCACTCCTTCGAGAAGCCTCCATGCAGGGCCATGCCTTTTGATAAGGAACTGCAGGACAGAGTTTGCTCTGGAAATTTCACCTGGCAACAGGGTAACCCCTCTTTTCTCTAAATATTAATACCAGCCTATATACACACACATATTATTTCCTTTCCTGGGTTAACACTGTGCTTCTAGCTGTTCGCCTATCTTTATGTGAATTGTATAGTTGAAAAGTCACAAAACACACTGATGTGATAACATGACAGATGATTTTCTTACAACAAGCATGAGGTAATAAGTTATTATATAAGAAATATTTTATATTTCAAGTGCCTTCACTATTTTTTTCCATAACAGCCAAGGAGCAGGTGTTATGGTTTGCACCTTTTCCCTACTGCCTAAAAAATACTACTGGTCTCAAACCTTCCAACCAATAAAACACACTTTGAGAAGCTGCCAATTGCCAAGAAATTCAAAACTGTTTTACTTAAACCTTCTCAATCTTGCCTCATTTACACCAACGTCTGTCCTGGGAAACACTGACATACCTCTTACTGTAGGATTTTGTATCAAACAGCTCCATTTACAAAGATTTCCTCCTATCCTTCCAATTACAGTGGCCACCAGGGGTTGCTGTAACATCTAAACAAGGCTTGTTCTGGTGGCCCTGGAATCTCCATGAACAGATCAGGGGACACAGCCTGCAGTCTCTGTTGTAACAGCAGCCTGGAGCATCTGCAGGACTAAGTGTTCAGCAGATGACCAACAGCTCTCAGAATCAACCCGAAGTTCAGCTGCACACCCCTGTTTTTACCTTTGTGAAGCATGAACCAGGCAAGGTGGCAGCTCAAAAACTCGCCAAAGGTAAGAAATTAAAGATATTGTAAATAGCTTGCATACATCTTGAGAATAAGTGTAGCAACTGCTCTTCTTCATATGGTTTTGAATGATCAGAGAAGATAACATTAATAACAAAGAATATTTTCCAGGACATGAAAATTTTCCTTCAAAGCAGTGACATTTAGTGCCTTCTCCGAGGATTACAATTTTGTTCACTGTAGGCAAACAAAGTGTGCCAAAGTGAGAAACTGCCCCCTCCACTGTAACTGTAAATCTAAAAGCCAGGCAGAGAGCAAACTTCAAGGCAAATCTGGCCAAAATCTGCCCCATCATCTTCAGATGCATTCAGATACCAAGGCTTCTGCTACCTGAGCAATATTTGCTCTTCTTACCTTCTTTCTTCAGAGGAAAGTGATCCTCTGGAATATTTTTCCTTTAAGAGGATTAGCCAACATACAAAAGTTAAGCTTGCTTCACTACTACATACATTTTTAAATAGTGGTTAGCAACAGAGCTAAAAAGCAATGGTTTTAAGTATCCTGTGTTTAGAAACACACAAGCCATTATGCTCAGAAAGGCTGGGCTCTTTGTTGGAGACCCTGTTCAAAATTGGAAACAACAAACTGCAGAACACAGATTTCATGCAGATCCTTGCATCCAGAGGTACCAGATAGCTGTGAGCAAAGAACTCTGGATTTAAGACTAGTTCAGGTATGCGGCAGCTGTAGAGGAAGTTTCAAGCAACGGTTTAGCAGCCCCAAAGTCTAACCTCATTGATAATGATTATTTGGATTGTGAGAATAATGGGTCATGTCAACTAAGCATGGAGCAGTGTGACGTGCGTGTTGTTCAGGGTGAACCCCAGTCCAGGTGTGGGCAAGTAGATTTTAATAAGGGCATCACCACACGGACAAGCTGCATTAATCTGGTCCCAGAAACTGAGCTGGGAGTGAGAGTGGTGCCTGTGCACACTGACACTGCCCACCTCTGACCTGAAGATCACAAGTGTAAGTATCTTGCACTGCACTCTAACCAGGATTTAAACAGCAGTGCCCTAGGAGAAGCATCTCTGTAGCTTTTCCATATTAAGGTGGTGGGACCTTTTTTGCTTGTTTTTTAAATATTTAAAGATAGCCAACTTACCGTTTTAACATCATTAGTACCAATGATTCCTCCAATCTCTCCCAGATCCTTAAGCAGCAAGTTTAAGATCTCTGTAGCTCTTTTCTTCTGATGGTTACTGAGTTCCTGTAACTGGCCCAGCTCCCTTTGGGTAGTTGTCAGGACAGTCTGCAACAATTCAAAAGCAAAAGTTACCATCCTCACCTCACATTCTCTTTATTTGTAAGCAACTTCATTTAAAAAATGAAAAAAAGTGTTTCCTCACAGGACAGAATAAACTTACTGAACAACTCTCTATCTAAAGTATCTCTTCTTAAATAAGCTTGTAGGCTCATAGCTATCCCTAGTTCTGTACTTGATTTTTCCATGCTTTAAAGTTCCACAGTGCCACTTGGGGCACTAGGTCTTCTGCAGTAACTAGGTTACCCTGCTCTGTATTTCCCTGAAGGTGCCCACTGACTCCACGTACCAACACTTACTCGAGCAGCATGCAGCTCCCTCTTGCCATAATCCACTTCAGCAATTCACTAGCTAGTAAGACTACTTTAGATTATTAAACGTAATAAATCCTGTAAGAATCTTATTCACATAATACATGTCAAGGAGGTTAATCACAGAGAAACAGGTACAGAAGGATATAAAATCCATTTTTTTCAGAGATATTTCATACAAATCTGTTCTATTGAACTGGATAACAGTGTCTTATATGGGACGTGCATGAAAATAGACCTGTGAACAACAGCTTCTTAGTTTGCATGAGGAATTAAGGAACAAGGATATGTCAGGCTAGTAAGACAATATTGATTTTTCTCAGAATAGATTTTTTTCCTTCAGATTGATGCCCATTTATTTTCAGCCGCAGTATTATATTGATTTCTTCCCTGATAATCCCTGACTGCACACAAAATCCTTGTTCCACAGCACGGAGTTCAGAGAATCACAAAATTATGCAGTTTGCATAAGGCAGATTTTCACATCCCTCCTGGCATTATAGAGCTTTTAAACAATCAAAATACAAAACAGCCAGTTTTCATCCAGCTCAGCAGCTGACTGTGCACAGTACAAATGTTGAAAAAGAACCAAAATGTGCCATCAGTTATCACAAAGGCAGTCTTGATTTTATCATTTAAATAAGATGGTAGGTAGAACGTACCATCTGCAAGTATGGATCTTTCAGGAAGGTCTCTGTTATTCCACATATTAAACTATGTAACAACAGACTTGGCAGCAGTATATAAAAATTTTGAAATGGTATATAATTTCCTATAGAATTGCTAGCCGAAGGAAGTCTTTAATGGGGTACACAGTGAGGGTGGAGAGAAGGGAACCAGCACTACAGATTGCTTGTTCTTACACTCTTCTGTGCCAGCTCATCAGTCAGCTGCTCGTTGGCTCTTGTCTTGTCCTCCACTTCTTGGGATTTCTGGTCATAGTTGACTGCTAATTCTTCGAGGGCTTGAAGGACCTCCTTCACCTCATCTTTTGCAGCTTCATTCTCAATCTGAAGACGAGTCAGCTCCTCTTGAATCTTCTCATAGTCTCTCCTAGTGGAGGCCAAAAGCTGGAAACAAATGCCAGACAGCACAGGTGCATAAATCTTCCAAGAACTCAAATACTACCAAGTATTTCCCACTGAGTCAAGACTTACAATTTTAAAAAGGGCAAAAAATAGACCATGAGAGAGACCATGAGTGAGAATGTGCGCAAGAGAGAAGAAATCCTGCTATTACTGTATCAGTTTCAGTGCAAGCAGATTTGAAGCAAGCAAAAAAGGGTCTGAACTTCAGTGAAAAGTTTTAACCAAATCCTATTACAACACAGGGAAGGGGCACAGAAGCGGATTTTGAGCAGTATCGTTAAGCACAAACCAATTTTCTGCCCTCAATCCAATTTTGCAACTAGGGAAAAAAAGCAAAACACAAACTCATAATCCCAGTTTTGAAGAGAGCCAAGTAAAAACGTTCTCAGAGCCAGTCCCAAAGAGCTTGTAAGTGAGCCAATGACAACTGCTTTAAGTTGTCACCTGAAACATGGTGCTGAAGACAGACTGGCTGCTCATATTTGCTGGAGCAAACTATTAACTAAAAAAGAAAACAGAGTGTGCACATACTGGTGATTGTTTCCAATGTGTAAGAGTTACTACATTTATTCTTTGCATGCTAGTTAAGGGAAGTGCTCATATCTCAGGGGCAGCACTGACTGTAAGTTGCTACCAAACGTTTATTATGTGCCGTTATGCTTATGAGAATATTTACAAAATCAGGACTTACTGCTTCATAACTTATGTTTTTAAGTAATGTAAAGCACAAAACCCAGTCACTGCGCATATGATAATGTGTAGGGTAATCCTAAAGGCAAAGGCAGAGGGAAGCAAACGAGCTAGCTTGTGAACACTGGCACACTCCCAAAGATTCAGATGTGAGGGAAATTTATCTAGCTGGTAATACTGCAGCCTCAGAAGTGCACTCCAGCTACAAAAAAGCCTACTGGGTTGCCAAAGCCAGATGGCACGTAAATATTTAAACAACAAAATAGCCTAAAATAATGTTTTTACTAAACACAGAATGAATTATTATCTAGATGTACTTAGGCAAATTTCTGTGCAACCATTATGGTGACTCCAAGCAAAGGGAAGTGCTAGGTACCCCGCAGGGCACAAACAGCTCCCCAGAGGACTCTCATTGACATAATGCTGAAGGATTCCCCACCCTGCGGGGCTATTCCGAACGCGACAGGGACCACCATTTGCAAAGGAATGGCACCTGGCACTGACAGCTGGTTTGAGGAGGAAAGGAAACCCTGAGCTGTTTCCAAGGTGTTTCCCTGCTCCCCACTTTGGCAAGAGGGTGATCCGTGGATGCTCATAGGGCCAAAGGGAGAAGTGGATTTTGTTAGAAAACAAGTGTGTGAAATGAAGAGCAGGCAAGGAAGATTCAGGATTTCCACCGAAACATCTGGGTGAAAACACAGCCAGTGGTGAAATGGCATCAAAAGACACTGATATCAGTGCAATGCCATCTGTGACAAGCCTTGTATTTACAGTTAATCTGCTGGCTTAATCAACCAGAAAAAAAGTGCTCTGGCTAATTAGTGGGAAACAGAGCGAGGCAGCTGCAAGGCAGCACATGCACTGCAGAGCTACCCGCAAGCCAGCCAGGGAGCAACTTCCTAACAGCACTGGTGTTTGTCCTTACACACGGGACAGAGCCTTGAAAAAACTAAGTCACATAGGGGGGGAAAAAAATCGCATCAGTTTTCACAGGTAACAGACACACAGACTTATCAGACAAACCTGTAAACACTCTGGGAAAGGGATATAACCCCTGAGGCAGGCAGTTTGGTCACACAAAGCTAGGACACGTGTAAAAGGCAGAAAGAACAAGGCCAGGAGCAGATGCCTGAAAAGCGGGGGCAACTTTGGTAGCACCAACAAGTGATTTTTCAGTCTCACCTATTTCTTCTGATAATATCATCTGTAATTATTCATAGCAAAATAATGGACATGGGTAACTTCTTGCAAACTGCATTTTTTATATTGTCAAACTAGGAAGACTCTGGGCTAGTATTAGTAGCACAGATCTGCAGTGTGTGGGTACCTGAGAGGATACAGGCATACTGGAAAACAGTATTTGGGCAGGTGGGGTGGCGAAAAACACAGGCCAAACTCCATCTCGGTACCTCATCTCCAGCTTTACACCTCAGCAGGCTGCTGTGCTATTGTAGGGAGTTATCAAGGCTTAGTGTCCTTGAGAGGATCACATCAAATTTTAAGTTTAAATCTGACTGTCACAGAGGTTGCTCTTAGCAAGGAGGTTTAGCCAGTTAACATGATGACCTCTGGCCAACAACTATCACATACTCACTGAACAAGAGTCCCATAATCAAAGAAAAGATTTTATGTTCCTTTTACCTCTTCTTGATCCAACATCTGTTGTTTCAGCTTTTCAGCCAACTGGCTCTGCTGGTTGATTTCATCATCCTGCAGTGAAATAAGGTTAGGGTGGGTTTAGTTTTGTTTCATAGTTCTGCTTTGATCACTTATTTCCCCTTCCAACAGGGGCAAATAAATACAACGCAATAGCACAACCTGTCCGGGTTGAAGGAGGCGGGGGAAGAAACCCACCATACACTGAGCTACAGAGTAAGAGCAGAGCAGAGATGACCACGGCTAGGCAGATGTGCTCCAGGCACTAAACGAGACATCGAGGTGGTAATGATTGCACTTTATAACTTGCACAAGGTCAGAATACTTTTCCAATACATGTATACATCCAGTCCTTCCCTTTTCATATTAAGGGTTCCAAAATCTTGATAATAACAGTACCAGGAGAAATTACTTTTATAGGCTATGATCTGTCCACTGCTTCACTATAGCTGTTTAACTTTGAACATATGTGTAACAACAATTATGCACATATGCTTTCACACACCCACACACGCTCACTCTGTCCTCTAATTTCAACAGAAGATGAAAGATGATTAGAGACCAACTTACTAATTAAAAAAAATACGACCTGCTCTGAACTGCATTAATAAAAGAGGAAGTTGAAACCCCAACATAGAATTTAGGCACCTCATCTGTTAAATTACTGTTTTTTCCTCCTGCGTTAAAGACCTTGATGGAAGTATGCCCTGGTAACATACAGCCAGGCATCCTATTTTATTGGCATTCGAGCATCACGGTGAAGAAAACATCCTCAGGCTGCAGAGCTGTTCTCAGACACAGAAGTGAAGCCACTCACTCCCCTGTGTGGATCCTTCCTCCGAACAGGCACAGGGGCTGACAGAGGCGGTCACCTCTGCTCAGATCCTCCCAGCTGGTTCCTTTTACATCCTACCAGAGCCACATGACGTTCTATTCCCTTGCAAGCAGCTAGTAGACTGATTTCTCAAAGTAAAACCAGCATTCAAGTAGCATATATCAAAATGCTCACTAATATTAAAATAATGCCAAATGGAGCAAAAAAGGGTCCATTCTGTAACAAGGTAAAATGTGGAAATCTTCTTTTCGTACTGCAGAGATCAATTAGCTTCTCAATTCCTGTGGTAATGCAGTAATGTACCAAACTACGGATGTCATGTTTGAGGGTAAAACGCAAACCTGCTCTTAGTTCCTCCAAGGATAATGTAGTCTTTACTATTACGAGAGGGTAAGTGAAAGAATGACTGATCTTTTTTATTTACATCAGGCTCTAGAAGATATTGTGAGCTACAGGGAACATAGCCTGCTAGGCAAAAGCTGCAATTTTTTTGAAGAGCTCAACTGTTACTTTGAATGCCACTGATATGCTGAGATGCTAAGGACAAGTGTTCAATACATTAATTGATGATAGCTTTTGTATAGGTGCCAGTAACACATTTCAAGTTGTACTAACAAAAAAAGCCAACTGCAATGAAAATTAATATAGTCTCCCTTTTCTTCCTCCTCTTATAAATTTAGATGACATGATAGTTAGCTATGCAGGTACAGTATTTACCAAAAATTACTTAGGGAGGGTTAAAAAGCCTGTATCAGGCCCTTAAACCAAAAGGGAACTTGCCACTTATTTCAGGGAGAACAGTAACAAACCATCCCCACAGAGGGAATGGCAGCAGATAACTGATGTCACAGGACAACATCCAACCTGATGCAGTAGCAGTATCCGGCATTTAGGGTATTTTCAAGTTCATGGGGCTCAGAAAATACAGTCCCGCTCTATCTATGACTCCCATACAAACCCTGCAAGCAAAATACCCTATACTGCATGCTATGAAGCTGTCACAGATTTCAAGTTTCTCATGCAAAAATATCATACACAAGCAGTTGAAAACCAAAAATTTCTCTGCAATAAAACACCTGCAAAATTTCCGATAGCTGTGTAGGTAATGGAAAGTTTAGCTGAGACACTGTTCAAGGACAGAGGCAGGGTTATACTGCGCTCATTTGAGGTGCTGCTACCACCTATCTGCTTGCTCTCAGAGGGCTCAGCAGTCCCCCAAGAGGCAGAAGAGGCTGAAGCAGCCTCTGAACTTCAGGCATTTCATTTCGCATCAAGATGCACATCCTATTCTCAGCAGCCTCCAGCAGAGCATGAGGGTTCATAACAGTGGGGAAAAAAAAACACCTTGCTATCGAGACAGCACAAGGCTTGACCCTTTTGCACAATGTCCTTCAGGGCGCTCACAACCTGGGAGCAGAAGGAAGAGCAGCTCACACACTCACCCAGGACACAGCACTAGTAACAAATGAGAACCACCCACCCATTTTGGCTTAGGTTTCAGTTCATGTTACACAAAGCAAATGAATTCAAAACGAGTGTGCACACCTTATCATCCAGTTGTCTGTAGAGACTAGCAATCTCCTCATCATATTTCTGTTTCTCCTCTGTCGAGATGCTGGCAGCAACTGGAGTGATATTGTCAATAATTGGGGTGTTATCACAAGGCTCCAGGTTCTTCTGATCCTTCGCGCTGATCTGCTCATCTTCGGGCACAGCTTCTCCTGCAAACACACAACCCAGGCTGTTATACCCCGGCCTGAAACACGGACAGCCCAGGACAGACCTTGGCTGCTGCTCACACGCACTCAGGAAGGCCAAGAAGGGGATGGCTGTTTTGACACTGTGGTGCAGCCAGAGGCCTGCTATCCAGTACAGAACAGGCAACTGCTGTAAATGAAGGCCATAAAGTTAGGTACAGAAATTAGCTGCAATTTAGTTGTAAGTTAGGTACAAATTAAGTTAGGTAAAGATGGCCAAGTGGTCCCTACAGTTAGAAAACAAACAAACAATATGTGCAACAGTTCAAACAGGTGACATTAAGAAGCCTGAACTCTTGATTCCCCGCCTTTCATTCAAGTGTTCTATGGATGGGAGGAGCTCCATGGATTTACATAAGTGTAAATAAGAACAAAAATCAGTCTTTCAGCCTAAATCCCACAGGCAATTAAATGCTCCTTCCTCTGCAGGTTTCGGATGCCTCATCAACACAGCCCCCCTCCCGAGCTGCTCAGGGATCAGGACAACAAGCAGACAGCTGCATTTAAAACAATCCGCACGCCCTGCCTTGTCACATCTAGAATTAAAGAGCACAGACCAACTGGCAGATGTTGCCCATGAAGCTCAGATAGGGCGCTATCCCTCCACATTTTCTTTCACAATAATTTTCTCCGAGGAATATTCTCAATAACCTAAGTGCATTCCAATTACCAGCGTGTTGCAGCTCAGTGAAGAGGGACAGGCAAGTCGCTCATGCCAGAAATTTAATCTACATTCATTAGAGGAGAGCGTGAGGTGCCGAATGCCACTCGCAGCACTCGAGACGAGGGGCTGGTTCTGTCCTACCCATCTGCAGACCCAGCTACCACCTATTTCTATGGAAAGCTGCTGTATTTTGTTCCTATAAATAACAATCCCTCTTGCCAAAGCTGCGCAGGCTCTATTTATCATCCTGGCAGGAAAACAAGTAAACAGAGCAAATATCAAAAATGAAAAGGCAGATTAAATCAGGCCTGAAAGCAAAAGAAAACAGAACAAAACAGGGCATGAAAAAGCATGATCAATGAACTGAATATAGGGTTTTTTGTTGGTTTTTTTTCCCCTCCTTCCCTCTTCAGGTTTGAAGCATGAAAACAGTAGCTTCAAATCAAGAGCTATATCCTCTACGAAAGTACTAAACTTAAAAACACTCTGCCTTGTTACTGGGGGGTTAAAGTCAATTTGGATTATGAGACAAACATAAATTGAATTTTCACTGTTGCACTTCACTTGGGCAGAAGAGCAAAGCTGGATGCCTTTGGACCTTGGGCATTTGTGCACATGACAATGCTGCTCACACAGTGAAGAACGCTTCAGTAACGTCAAAAAAAAAATCTTAAAGTTGTCATTTCATTGGTGTATTTTGCTTAACTCGGAAACTTTCCGACTTGCACATGTGAAGGGAGGCGGGGAGCCTAAGTTTGATACAAATGCTTGGATGACAACACCATAAACTCTAAAACGCTGGACAAATCTTGCATTTCAATACAAGTCTGCTGAATTCTTACTTCAGTAAAAACTAGGCACACCTGGTTTGTACTACTAATTTACAAATTTTGTAAGTTATTTGCAAAGTCTATAGAATAAGCTATACTTCCTAGGCTATATGCCTCTATTTTGTACATTGTCTTCCTGATATAATTTCCACTACCATTTCATTTGGAAAGAGCCTTAATCTTACCCCCAGATAATGCTACTTTACAGGTCAGAAAAGAAATCAATAGCATTTTGAATACACTTAACATAAGGCTTGGCAACACTAATGAAGAGAAGAGGCAGAGGGAGGGAAGAGGAGGTATGTGTATTTAGACAAAACAATAGGGGCAGCGTGGTACAAGGCCTGCTTGCACAGCATATAGCCATGCATCTGTAGGGTCTTTTCTAAAAAGGAAAAATAAACAAAAAGAAAGCCACTGTGTTTCTAGAATGGGAAGGAAACTAAAGCAGCCGCATTCAATAAGCGCAGTGAAACATGCCGAGCACGAGAGCATTACTGAATTCCCAGCTCTCCACAAAACCAACAGCAGGCAAACTGTTTCCATAGCAATTTTACTACGCTGAAAGAGAAATATTCCCTGTGCTAAAGTGGCCCAAGTCTCCAGAGAAAGGCATTGAAAGCAAGCACTAGGTAACCACCTAACATGAAAGGCAAGGAAACCAACGGGGGGAGTATTAGCTGAAAGCAGGAAATGATTTTTTGCTCTCATAACAGGCAGATGTTACCCATTCAGTACTATAGCGGATGCATCACCCATGATGTTCCAAACGGGACTTGGTTGTTTCACACAATTTGTGGCTATGTACACAGAGATTATCATATCGAGGTCACAAATACACATTCACTACCCATACGGTTACTAGGCTGTTTTGCAGTACAGTGTCTTGTCTGGGTGCTCTCTAATATGAGGACACATCCCCATCGCTTTTTGCAGTACCTACCATTTCTCCACCTGTTCAGTTCCAGCTCCAGATGCTGAATAACATTCTTTAGACTCTTGTTTTTGTCTTTTTCTTTCTCATACTTTTTCTTCCATTCTTCTGCTGTCAGCTCCAGATTCACAGAGACCGTGTTCTTAATAGTCTTAGCTCTGGGTAGCAAACATAAAAGCTATCAGTTGCTTTGCAGCTTTTATTTCAATGCAGCAGTAAGGACTGAGAAGCTTTTCAATAACACAAAGCTAAACCACTAAGAGTTTGCAATTTGTTTTCTAAAGTGGAATGCCACAATTCAATTCTCTCTCAAAGTCTCAGTAGTTTTTAGCCTTCAAGCCTAAAACGGTCTTTCTATACCAAAATCCAACAGCCAGAATCAATCTGCTTACTGAGAAGCAGAATTTTCATTAGCAAATGAAACATTACAAGTAAATAGCCTGTAAAAGAAACTATTTCCTGTAGACTATATTTCTTTTCAATATTTTCCCAAACAACATTATGTATGTGAAGGTTGTGTGCTGCTCTGCAGGCCCAGCAGAGCAATAGCCCTCACTTGCAGTTCATTCCTTACCATTAAATGCTCTCCACGAGCAGCTCCCGTTTCAGCACAGTTCTACAGCTCATCAGCAAACAACACACATAGCAACAAACTGCATTCAAGTGCTCTCAAAGTATTTAGCTATTTTCCCCATTTATTTCAGCTGACATCCTGGTCTTCAATAAGGAGCACCTTATATAAAGACACTCCTTCTTTTCGGGTGGCAACTTGGTTGTTTCTAGCTCCATGGAGGGCATGTACTGCACATAAATTCACTACTCTCCTGTTCTCATTAGTAATGTCACATCCATCAAAGCTCCACCAGCCAGGATGTGCTGAGTCAGTTGCTAAACTGATTTGCCTTCCAAACAGCAATTGAAATACTGATTACTGGAAGGAGAAATGAAGCCAGAAGAAATGTAGACTGAAGTGACATGGAAATTGGACACACTTCCTTCCACACACATACATATATATTTCCATTGGGCTTATACAGTAAAAAGCAGAAGCAACCTCGTTCCTTTGTGATTTCAGAGAATCACACACAGCCCTCCTCCCCCCAACAAAACAAAAACAAGAAAAAAAGCAAGTAACACACTACCTTCAATCTGAACTGCTACATTTCATTGCTTCATCTTATGTTCACTATACAAATGTGAATTAAGAAAAAACCCGTAACAATCGTTAGTTTGACCATGCTAGCAACCATCTCCTTTTACAGCCTTTTCTCATACAAACTTACTGAAGACACCTGTGAGGTTCCCTTTGGGAATTCTCCTCTGCAAGCTTTTGTTCTAAGCGAGTAGCTTATGGTTGCACAGGGAAGAAAACATTACAGCAAGTAAAGATCAGAAAAACTGATGCTTTGAACAGCTACCTGGCTTAAAGGTCCTTCCCTGCCTTCTAGAAACCCCAACCGACGTCAGACAAGTTAATATCATTTCCAGCAATGCCAGTTAGGGAAAGAGCACAAAAAAATTCTTATCTAGCCTAATGATCACCAAGACTCACCGCTGCCCAAACATGAGCGTAGACTTGGTTTCTGCTTCGTTGAAAATCGATGGAGAACAACAGATGACAATGGTGGTTCTGCAGTTTCCACCAAGGGAATCCTGAAGTATCCGGGTCATTTTGCTGTCTCGGTATGGAACATGGGTTTTCTAAGCAAAATAGAAACCAGAAACAAGACTTTTTTTTCCCCTTTAATTAATGGTATCAGGTTCTCCCTCACTATAAGTTTACAGTGAGGGACTTATTGGATTTTGAAGCACATAGCACAATCAAAACAATTACACTGCAGAATTAAGATGTACCACACTGGATAAGCACTCAAGTGAAATCACTGATAATTTATTTCTTTATATTTAGTCGAGTAGCAAAAGTGTCACCGGTTTACAGTATGAAAACAAATACTTTCTTCACCCTGAATTGAAGTGCTGGCTTATTTCTTATGCACATGGTAAAGAAACAGATAAATAAAAAGTCATTCTTAAACAGCACAAAACAGGATTACTTACAGTTCCTTCTGCCAAGGCAGATATCACGTTGCCTAGTGCAGACAGAGACTTATTGATATTTTTAGCTTCATCAAGAACAGCACCCTCCGCTCCAGTTTTGCTGACCTGCCAGAGAGAACACCTCCAGTCAGGCTCTGGCACAAGCAGGAGCTTGTACAGAGACAGCTACAGCAGAAATGGGGACAGTGCAACAACCCACACTCTTGGAAGAGAAATAAAACAAACGTGTTCCCAACATGAAATGGGGAGGGTTTTTTTTTTTTAATATACACCTTTCTGTTAGGGGAAGCCTGCAATTCTTCCAGCTTTATTCCAGTTTCAGAGCAGATTCCCTGTACACCCTTACTTCAATAGAAGAATCATAGAATCATAGAATGCCTGAGGTTGGAAGGGACCTCAGAGGTCATCGAGTCCAACCCCCCTGCACACGCAGGGTCACCTAGAGCACGTGGCACAGGGCTCCAAGAAAAAGCTGCTAAGTCTCTATTATGAGGACCCTGGAGGCTACGGTAAGAGTTGCCTGTCCACGTGGATAGGGGACTTGCAAGTGGCATCATTTGCAGGGGATGCTCAGGGCATGCTCGGGCATGCTCAGTGACACAGCATATTCCTCCCAACAAGTACTTTGGCAATGCATTTTGCCTGCATGGGCCAGAAATGTCAGGGCAGAGAAGGCACGACCACAGCGACAGCGCATGCCAGGTTTGCTGCCCTGCGGACGGGACCCCAGGGCAGCCAGATGAGAGGCCTGGAAGTGGAAGGGCAGTGCAGATCTAGGGCCTCCCCACTCCGCGCCGGTGAAAGAGAGGGCATGCAGGGTTTCTGCAGAAGCATAGGACAAAGCCATGTATTTTTCTGTATGTCGAAACAAGACTACTGCACTTCCCTCTAAAAAAAATGATTGACACATGATACAAAAGGCAACATAACAGCACATGTTAAGAAAGCAATATCCCAAGGAAATCCTTATTTCAGGTTTTTAGTGGAATTCCCAAGCCAACACTGAGTTGCAAAACCGCAGCTTCTGAAGAACAGAATCTGCCTTAGTTCCCATCTTCCAAATGCTATTAACAGCTTTTCGTTTAACATTTGAAACAGAAAACTAACAGCATTAAATACTGTTGTGCATGTCTTCCACGTTCTACCAATGACTTAATTACTGCATTGCAATGAACGCCTTCTTTGAAGGGTGCACAGCCCATTGAACAAAATCATTTATTTTACCTTCTCCTTTTCAGAAAGAATTGAAATTTGCCATCACAATGGAAGACATCTATGTTGTTTTATTAGAAACAATTGTTTACACATTTTGAAATGCACAGTAGTTACCAAGGATCCAGTTCAAAGGACAGCATTTAATTTTATCTTCTTTCCAGTGAATGAATTTTGAATATCCACAAGATATTAAAAACTGGGAAACATGTACTTTTTTTCCCCTCAGTGCATTAGCATTCTAGACCATTACTTTGGTGATAAACAGACACAAGTTATTTTCTGTTTAGTATTTTTCCATAGTGGAAAGCAGAAATAGTCAGTACAATTAAGAGCATCTTTCAGAGGCTTCAAATAGATTTCAGCTGTATAACTGAAAACGAACTGTGGTTCTTTCATTGAGCTAGATGAAATAAATGTAGAATCTCCAGGAAGAGCATACATCTGACACGAATAAGTAACAGTATGTAACAGTAATTTGATAAATTATGTAACTTTTTTAAAATGAAACCCAAAACTCCATGTGAAACTACTTGGAAGTACCCTGGTTCAATCCACTTCATTACACTACAGATCTTGCTTCTGCATTTCATACCAAACAGTTCTGCTCAGTTCCTTTTTACCAATTAACTTAAAAAAAAAAAAAAAAAAAACAGCACGCCAACAAGAACATTCAAGATAAAACTTCTGTTAAACTTAGTAACTCTGCTTAGTTTGCAGCAACACATACACACACATGTACGTTCTGTGGAGTGACCGCATTAACACATCCAAGAGCAGCTTAGGAAGAAAGCAAAATTACCTTCTCGCTGCCAGCCAAGTCTACCAGGTAAAGCTTTCCACTGAGTTTCTTCTCAGTCTCCACATTCTCTTGCTTAATATTAATGAGGAAGATACTGTGACTTCTAGAGCTGTGTTCATTCATATCTGCGGAGCAATCACATTTTAAATGTTTTGTTTAAATGTCTTTTAGAGAAATTATTTCACCATAATAGGTCTATCACTAATGAACTCAAAACAGAGTCCACTTTGTGGACAGAGTCAAAAACAGAGTCCAGCTCTGCACACCATGGAATGAGCTCTTAAATTGTTCATGTTGGGGAAAAAGTAACCAGACTCATGCTAAATGACACTCTTGGAACAAAATAAAAATATAATCACCAAAGATAAAATGAAAATAAAATGATCAAAAGTTGGGGGGCAGGGAAAGAAAGAAAGAAGGAAAAAAAAAAGAAGCAGCATGGTGGTGCTAAGTATAACAAAATGCCAGTTCATGGGTACAAACATTTGGACACACTGAACAAACAAAATCCATCTCTCAATCAATGAATTGAGGTTATTTAAAATCTAGACCTGCAATTAGCAATTTAGTTCACCATCCTGGACTAAATTGGTTTTTTGTCTGTCTTTTTTTTTTTTCTCTTTTTGAGTTGAGCTGAGCAAGAGAATTTAAAGTGCAAAGAAACAAAAATATATCCTTAAATTTGGGAAGACTTAATATTTTTATCAAAAATTTATCATTTACATTAGAGTTTCAGAATGATTTTTACTGCTTCTGTAGGTGTAAAAAATAAACAAAACCCTCCTTCACCCATACAATAAGCATAGCACAGGCAGCTGAAGTGTCAGCTTCTCAGCTCAGAGTTTCTAAGCTCAGTGGTAACCACATTATGCTTCAAGTCCCATAAAGCAGCAAAGAGAAAAAGCTTTTAAGTTTTAAAAAACAGGAAATTATTTTTTCCCCTCTATTTCCCTGGTTACCATCACCCCGCTGCCATTTTTCCCCAATTCACAGTCTCAACTCCCTCTTTCTCCTCTATCTCCAAACTATGTTTTTCTATTACAGTTGCAAATTTGCTTTTGGCCGCTCCTCGATCTCAGTCCTGGCAAAGTGCACTCTCTGTCGAACTTCTGTCTGAACTTTTGTGTGGCAAATGCTGCAGATAATACAACAGCAAGAGGTAGATTTGGGTACTTTTGGTTAAAAGCAATAGCAAAAGCCAAAGGAATAAACCTTATGCAGGAAAGAAAAAAAACATTTCTACTAGTGTGGGAAGAAAGGCAAGGAAAAATAGAAACAATGCAGTATTTATCAAAGCAAAAAAAAGTAAAGACATGGAAGAGAAAGCAGTTACCAAGGACATCATAGAAAATAAAAAGAAAAAAGAAAAAATACACAAGATTTGAGTTGTAAGTTGAACTCCTGCCAAGTTCACTGCGTGAATCTAACATCTTGAAATATAAATTGGAAAATAGGCCAAAGACACCTGCCCTTCTTATCACTGTAGAGCTAGGTAGGCTATATATAAGCTTGCTATGGGCTGGAGGGATTTTTATTTGTTTAGAAAGACTTGTTTGCTTTGGAATCGTTGGAGCTCGGGCCAAGCTACTGCCTCGCTGAGATCAGTCACAAGGGATAAAGAGAGTGTGATAACAGCAAAGAATGGGAGCTCATTCTGGAATAAAAGCAACTTCTCCACAGTTTTTGCTCATCATTCTGACCAATGCACTCCTCAGCACTCTAGCACCCTTGATTTGTAGCACAGAGAAAAATGTACATATATAAATATATATGCTCACTATGTATGTTTAGTAATACATAATTTTGCAGTACCTACATCATGGGCAACAACAGAAATGTTGACTTTCTATATCTAGTGGCATCTGTTAAACTTGGGAGTTCTGAAAGCTGAAGCTATCACTAAATATTATTTCTTTTACAGCAACATGCAGAACCACAGTGCTAGTCATTCCTTAGTGTTAAAATCTGTGCATCACTGCATCTTTCACCTAAGGATATTAATGTTTGTGAACATTAAGAATCAACACCCCACCACAAAGCAACTCTAAGCAGTGCTTTGTAGACAGAAAAGCTTCCCTAGGTTACTTACTTGTAACAGCTACGTGGCGGTTAGCTTTCCCTTCATCAATGACATCCAAAACCTCCTCAGGACTAGACACAAATCTTTCTGTACATCCCTACAAAAATGCAAATTGAGCACAAAAATTTAGTAAGCTAAGGAATTCTTTCCCCCTTCTCCTCTGAGTACACAGAACACTATCCAATGTATACTGCTAAGGTTCACCACATATGTTCACAAGCACAATTCACATTAAGTGAACAATCCAGGTGAAGGCACAGAAAGCTGTGAAAAAATTGACAACTGTACCTAACCCAACAAATCTACTGTAAAAATGGAAGATCACAGCATTGATACAGCAACACACTAAAGAAAAAAACCTTTAAGATTTCAAACTCTTTCAGATTCAACATGAAATAGAAATATGAATACTTAAATCTTAGCATCTTTATAACAAAACGTGTTTCAAGTCAGGAAAAATAAAGCAAGCATAAATGATTCAAACCCATTAATATTTCAAGAAGCTTTAAATACAGAGACTAAATGTACTTCAACATCCACGATTTTGAACACATGAGATGAATCACCTCAATCAGGATACAAACTGAGATCTGTATAGAAATGCATGTATTGAGTATCTGAGAAAGAACAAAAAACAAGCACCAAGGTTTTACTTGTACCTTAACATACGGAACTCTGTTTTTATCTTCGTGTACAGCAAGGTTTGTTTTTGACACTAGGAAGAAAGAAGCAGCTCATTACAAATACTGCACAAGTAATGATGTGTCAGCTAGAGGCATGACAGATAGTCTGAATGCATTAACTCTGCAGCTTTAGAGTGTAGTCATTTCCCACTCATTATCCATCATGGTTTCTGTTACATAAATCTATAGGGGGAGGTTCTTTAAAGCAAATTTTACAGCAAATTGTAAACATTTATTTTTTTCAGCTACAATTACACCCTAAGAATATGCATCACCAATAAAGATCAGACCTGTAGGGTACACCAAAATTCAGTGGTGGTTTGGAATGACTCAGGCCCTTCTGTAAAAACCTCTATGCTCGCTAATTGATACTCAAGCATCACAGAAGTAGGTGTACAAGGGCCAGAGAAGCTACAACCTAAACGGCATCATTTTCTTTTGTAAACCCAGTCACATAGCTTGAATTTAAAGCCCTCTCAAAACAACTGAGTCGACACTAAGGGGGAAACAATTCACTAGAATGAACATGACACCATTTAGCCATGGAAGTGAAAGAAATGAAAAACTTACCATCAAGTAGGTCCCTTATTTTGTCCAAATAAATCTCAAAGTAGGAAACCTAAATAATTAAAAACATTATGTAATTACACTTTGGTAAACTGATTGTACTTTTATTTCTCTATTTGTCAAAATAAAAAGCACCAAACTAAAAACAAGATCCATTTCTCACACATTTTGAATTACAACTCTTCCATGTAAAAGTATTTGTATTTTGAATGATCTACATGTCATATTACCTGGTCTTTCCCTCTCTCCGATTGATTTAGGAAAGCTTTACAAAAAGGCTGCACAAAGCTTATCTGCTGCATATTTTCCACCACGTGCAAAATGGACAAAATACTGCCTATAACATTATCAGTCCAGCATCACTAGCAGGGTACAATTTGACAACTGAAAAGGCACACAGATATCCAGCAGCACAAACCAGAGGGTTTAATACCCTAGAGTCACATAAGCCTAAGCAGTGCACATTAAATGAAACTAAGTGAAGTGTATGTAAAGCTCTTTCCTGAATGAGGTCCAAGAGAGCTACCTGAAGACAGACACTGTCCTTGAAATAGAGAGAAGAGAAAAAAAAAATATATGCTTAGAAGGAGGGAGAATGAATAACTCTTTGTGTAGAGTTTTCAACTCTGACCAAAGCAAACAGAAATGCACTAGGGGGATGGTGCCCAAGTGCACTGTAAATAAGCTTTTTCCCAGGGATTATTTAGCTAGCCAGACCGACAGCTAAATTCTAGACAACAAAGCATAATATGATGTTATAGGAAAAAATAAGTTATTTACTCTTTAAATGATAATTTTGTATTACTGTGTTGTCACTGTCTTTAACATACAGATGTGTTTCGCTCATGTGCTTTCTTCATCTGTGTGCCATTTTCAAACCATCCTCTGGACTAGCTTGCTTCTACCGTCTAATTGACCTACAGTCATTTTGTGTGCTTTGTGTTATCCTAATAACACAGTGCTGAGGACCAACATACACTGCAGATGTTCCCCTCTCTGTTCTTAACGGGTCTCTAATAAAAGGAGGAGGGGAGGAAAAGAAAAAGAAAAAAAAATCATTCACAAAGGAGAAAAAAACAAGATCACTCATTTTCAAAGTCGGCTTCATTATTAAAAGACTGACAGTTCGTTAAATTCCTGGTCTCAGTGACAGAACACGCATTTCTCTAGTTGACAGCTTCTTGTATAACCATTCACTCATTCATTGCTATTTAGGCAGCTTTTCTGTTACAATATTCAAAAGTGTCAGCTACGATAGGAAACCACTGAAACAACCCGGTGCTGGCAGAACATGATTTACAAAGTGATAATCTGCTGCTGGGACAGGAATTCACTCTGCCTAGTGTCTAGTACAAAGAGGTCCCCATCTGCCGGTATCAAAGCCCTATCAAGTAGAATAGCAAAAGCCATGGCAGGGTTTTACACATGATGGCAATGAACCATTCTCACTCTTGCAGGAGCCATTGCTGTAAAGCTTCAGAGATCTCTCTTCTTAAGGAGCTCAGAATTTTACAATCCAAGATCAACTAAAACTTTGGATGGCTTATTTTAACTTTGTGAAGTTGCTTCTGTCCAACACTGCTTGAGAACAGGCAATGCTCTCACTGCAAGAGTGATCTAGCACCTCCAGAAGGAGGGTAACAGCTTCAAAGAGGCGCAAAACATGCTAGATTATACTGGATTATTAGGAAAAAAGAAACTCAGGGGTATGTCAGGGGCGTTAACACAGTGAGTGAAAAGTCACTCACCATATAACTTCTGGGCACAATGCAAACCAGTCAGAGGGGCAGAGGAGCAGGATGCTGTTTCACCAGGTCTCAGGAGAAGAAGTGTCTTCACGCTGAGTTGCTGAGCACGGCTACCCAGCTTTACCAAAACATTCTACTCACATAGTGTGTGCTTTGGGAGAGGGATGACAGAGCAATTACACTTATTTTTTCCTGCAATCTACTGGCTAATTTTACTAATGTCTGCTTAGGGATAAGATGTATCTTGTCTCCTGCTCTGCCAGCCTGGCTAGGAGACTGAAGGAGCGATAGGAATTAAAGGTTGCTTCCAAGGATTTGAGAAAGGGTGTATGTTTGGGACCACAACAGGGACAGGGGAAAAAATGTTAGCTGTTCAAACTGACTCGGTCTTCAAGCTCCTGAGATGAATCTGATTTCTAAAGGTTCTTCTGTAAAACTGCCTGGAGAGAACTTCCTCCACTTCAAGCCCCTGTATCATGGATGACCAAATGGAAATACAAACAGTATACCAATATTCTATTAAGTGTCACATAAACCAATATTTATAGTTATAACTAGAGGGACTGCAGCACAGTCTTTTGAAGAAGTTGCCTTAAGTTAAGGATATTCTTACCATATTTCCTTACAGCATCGGCTGGCCTGTCAGCTTTGGTGAAAGGTGACCAAGACCAGGCATCCCACTTGAGAGAGGCTACAGAGAAGCCTGAGATACAACCGAGCTGTTAATTCCAGCTATTCTGCTGGGACCGCCAGTGTGGCTGAAGTTAGAGCCAGAACAGGCCAGCCAAATTGAGCCAACAAACACATCCAAAAATTCTGCCAAAGGGCCTTTCCTTAGGTTAATAACTCTATCAGATTTTTCAAGTAAGTGTCCTCATTAACAGTTCTTGGAATTATAAAAAGGAAAATACCTGCAGCAAAATGTTATGAGAATCCAGATTCCACATCCAGCTCTGCTTTCCTTCATCTGACCTATTACACAACACGCCATTCTGCATTTACCTTTATGTGAAACTCCAGGTTTTCATCCATGGAATAGATGTGATCAAAGATGTCATGTGCAATTCTTGGAATGATTCCCATCAGCTGAGGGTCATGCAGCTTCCCCTGCAGACACAAAAGCAAAATGTCACCTGGGAAGAGCTGCTCAGGCACAGGAGAGGAGAGGGTCTCCTTTACACGGATCTCCACGCACCGGGCCCCAGAACATGCCCACTGCTCTGCAGGGATTTGCTTGATCCAAGCATACATCGGAGGTGGCAGAATGACTCAACACGTTAACATTCCTCACCCAATGGGGAGCTTAGCTGGTGTGTCAGCTCCTGCCGGTTGGGAAGCGCTGCTATCCTGCTGCTGTTTACAAGGCTGCTCCCCGACTCAAGACACATCAACAAACAAGAACAAAACACAAGTTAAGGCCTAGCTCTCCCAGTTATAGAGTGAGATGTTGGAAAATAGGCAAAGAATTGAAGGTTTTAGAGCATTCAGATTCTCTTTCACTGCTGTACTAGAAAGCTAGAGGGAAAGCTGAGTTGTGGGGATTTGGGGATTAGAGTAAAATATTCTGGTTTCAGCTTGCTGGACCTCCTGCCAGACAGCAGTGTTTTTCAAACAGCCCTGCTTTCCAGATCGAGCAGCACAAGCACCTTCCTCTACTCTTTGAGGAGCCCAACATGAAATAAAATCTATTTCCTGGCAGCATCACTTCTTAGCTGCATCCCTCCTCTGGGCAAGCCAAATACATACACGAAAGCTATCATTAACAACTGAACAAAAACACAAACACAAAAGAATACCTTCTTTCTGACTACAAGATACACTGTGTTATTATTTCCACACACTCTACATAATTGCCTAAAAAGTCAGCAGCCATAAGACACCATCAGAATATAGAAAACCTAAGATCTTCAAATGCTTAATTGAGTATTGATATATTAATGCCAATATTGAGCACAAAAAAAAAAAATCCTACCACAAACACTGATATGAGATATTTCAAAATCCGTTAGTAACCACACAATCCTAATCACGGGATGTTATTTTTTAGATTTGTAACTTGTTCAGTAATTTTGCTTGTAGATCAGAACAGTTTTAGCAAAATTGGAAAGAAAGCATATGAGTTAGCATGGCTCTCTCAAGGTTATGCAGGTTTCTGACCAGTGGGAATCAGTTAGATTGTTAACTGCCTTCCCTGTAGAACAGCACTCAGCTATATCCAAACCACTAATATTATATGATAAATAATATTAACTTTTACAGTGGGAGCAGTTCACTCCTGTACTTTATACAATACCCTGTTAAGCTTCTCAAAAATTAAGAGATCTTTGTTGTACAATACGCTTTTTCTTCATATCATGAAAATGAAAAAGAATACCAATGAAATAAACTGGATCCTCAATGAGAGTGGAAAAAAGTACACATATACACACACAACAAAACTCCACACCGATTTTTTTAAGCCTTGCTAGCAAAGATGTCACTGCACAACCCTTCATTTTGCTACACAAAGCTGTTATTGAACAAACACTGCAATACAGTTTTTGTGCTGTTCATTTCTCCTCCCTGGAGTTAACTGGCTGCTCTGCATGGAGATACTCAACTGGAGATGGTCTTTCCAAAGAGGTTAAAGGAATTTTTCCTGAACAGTCATGGGCAGAGATTTGCATTCAATACTTCGTCAATGCACAATGCAATTAGAAGTGTATAATATGTATGTACACGTGTGTGCATACAGACACATATACACATATGCATATACTATAAAACAGTGCATGATGCAAAATTCTTAAGCTACCAAAACCAAATGCAAGTGACAACATGTAAGATAATTTTTAATTAAAATGTTCTATGCATTACTTTCACTGGAGAGATGAAGTCAAAAAACCTCCCAGCACCAAGACAGAGTTGGCTCATTAAGGCCCTTCATTTTAATAAGAACATCATTTTCCACATTTAAACACAGCAGGCGGCAGCTAGTGAAGTGCAGGAGTGGCACGGCAGGCAATTTCAGAAAGTCAACGTAATAGGTGCAACCTATTGGGGGGGGGGGGGATAAACCTATGGGGATGAACTATTGAAAGGCCAAGCCCATCAGTGTAATCTTACAAAGAAATCCATGTAATTTTAAGAATTCCTGCTAGGCAGGGTGGCAAGTGTTTTATCTAGCACTGGAGAAAGACCCGTGTATGTCAGAGTCTATTCTGGCCATATTGTACTCCCAAGCCCTGCTTAAGCTGAACACTAATACTATGAAGCATGTCACAGAAAATCCTCTGCAAGAGCTTTACCTAGAGGATTTAATATTTCTTCAACTTCAGACTAGCTTTTTTCTTCTACTACATACTATAATAGTGCTGCAAGAGGATATGGGGTTAAAAGGGGGATTAAGACTGAATATAGACTAGAATCTATTTTAAAACGACAGCTTTAAAAAAAACTCATCTTCCAATAGTCATCTTCTTTATAACAGTTTCTAATTCTGATTATAAATTGGCTTTAAGAGATCTTTCCCCACGCCATGTGGAAGCACCCGCTCCAGCCCCGCAGACATTTTGATTTAATTACATTCCGAGCTGGTGGATTACTCAGCCATGGTGCCATCTGTGAGCCCCAACCAGCGGGTCCCTCCATCCTCCGTCTCCAAAGCAGGCAAGGGCAGACTTAATTAGACACGAGGCCTCGGTTATTGTGTCCTCCAGAAAAGGAGGAACTGTGGCAATCTAGTAGTGCTTTCACCAGAGCCTACTGGCTCCAGAGAATATTGCTTTCTTTCTCATTTAACCTTCAGGTTAGGGAGGTCACCCATGTTAATCACTGACATTTTGACTGTCACTGACTGACACTGTTAAACAACTGGAGTGCAGCAGCTTCTCTCTTACTTTCAGTTCATTTAGTATTATTTTGTTTCAGGTCTTCTGCTTAAAATTCATAGGGGAGCTGAGATGTTCTAAAATACATATATCCAGTTTGAGGAGGCTCTATGATTGAACAACCTTAGGCTAATAGTTACACAGCAGTCCAGTGAATAATTCATGCTTTGCTAAACCTCCATTTTTAGCAGGAGACTAAAATATCATTTAAATGCATCTACCTGACCAGTCTAAGTGAATTTGTGGGGGAAAAGCACTATGTTGTTACACTTTGCATGCTGAAAATACAGACAGACTCAGGACTCAGAAATTTGGTATTCCCTTTGTCCAGAGCAACAATTCTCAAATTCATCCATCTGTGCTGCAGCATGAGAGAGATATTCCCAGAAGAAAAGCGCAAATGAGAAAACCGATAACCAAGGCATGAATTTTCTCTCTCTTGCATTCAAGGCAGGTTCTCCGCAGATCACTATCGCCCTTCTAATTTGTGGATTAACATATCTCACTCAAATCCTTTAAACACATACCCAAACTGGTAGGATAAATGTGTTATGGAAAAGTTGATACTTCTCACCCACTGATTGTTATTCTGCACACACATCCGTACACATCTCTGGAAAAAAAAATATACATCAAAAATTCCAGCTTAAAAAGCTTTAGAAGCTAAATGTATCTACTACTCTTTTCATCTGCCACTCACAGTTCAGTGCTCCAGACAGCTGTTTTGTTCTAGCAATTGATACATAATTCTCCTGCTACTACCAGACAGAATTAATTTTGCCACTGTACCTCCATAGTATGAGTTTTGCCTGATGACGTCTGTCCATAAGCAAAGATTGTGCCATTGTAGCCTTCAAGAACATCTGCAAGAACAAGAAAAAAAAGAATTAAAACTCATCCTGGCATCTTGGGGCATCTAATATGATAAACTATATTAGCAGTTTCACAGGTCTTTTGCAAAGCTTATCGGCTGACTTTGGAAAATACCATGTGCACTAAAAGATGGAAAAAGATAATGTACATAACAATTGCAAGGCAAAAAAGTTTTCACAGCCAGATCAAAATTAGCTAATTACACATCGAGATCCCTTTTACTTTCCCGAGAAAAAAATTCCAGGGCACCATTAATATATCTGTCTGACAAGGATATCAGAAGACTTAGTTACTTGCATTTAAAATAATCAAGTACTAAAGAGAAGATTTAAAAGGAAAATTTATTCTTCCTCTGCTCCTGTAATACTGCCAGTGGTTCATGGCTTCAATAGCTTTCAAGCTTGACTGCAAAGTGGTAAAACAAAGTGGGAAGGATGTCAGACAAACACGGAGCTGTTTCATTGAAAGGATACTTCTGTCAAGGCATAAAAAAATATTTTTGATATTACTTTAAGATATCAAAAATACCTATTTTTAAATTTTGCAATACATAACGTCAACAGAAGTTTTCAAGAGACAGAAAGAAATGGCAGGGGAAGAAGCCTTCTAGAACAACCAGTGCTTTCCAAAGGGCTGCATCTAATGCCTGTCCCGCTCCTGTGCCCATTCACTCCCACGAAAAGACTGACATGCCAGAGCTTCTCCAGGAAAGGGAATTTAAGCAGAGCCACTTCGAGCAACTTCTATGCCGAAAAAGATGCAACACTATTACAGCTGAAAATAAAGGAAATAAAAACTCAGAAAAGCAAATAGCAGTAGGTTTGGTGCCTCTGGGCACATGCACAAGTGCGCTGCCCCACACGCACAGAGGCTTCCCCTCCGCACTGGTCCTATTTTGGACAGATTTTGGAAGAATTCAGCTGCCTCATCCAGTTGCAGAAAGAGGATCACTACTTATTCTTTAAGGAAAGAAGGTCTAGCATAGGTAATAATAACGAATAAACAAAAAGGGCAGTGTGAGGAAAGTCATGGAGTGGCACAAACGGAGTTCACACCTTCTGCCCATTAGGTCCACATGGGCTTTCAGAAGTCCTAGGACAACAAACGTGTGCAACTCCCATTTGTCTCTAAATTCTCACCTAGAATTCAAATACCTTTCAACTCCAGCCCATGACATGAGGTGGCTGCCTGCAAGGAGCCACACATTGTGCACACGGCAATGTGCCACGGGGACAAGGAAGTGGCCACAGCTCCTAAGGAACAGGGCACTGCTCGGGCAGAGCTCTCAGAGGGGACAGGGTTAAAGAGATGCAGGACCATGAGATGCACTCTGAGTTCCCACTGCACTGTGGACCTCTCTGGTGCGCCACAAATGCAGGAGTTGCGCTGGAGAGGTAGAAGATCCCACGGGCTCACACAAGTCCCTCCTGCCTCACTCGTAGAACTGAATTAATCCAATACTTGCCTTTCCCATGTCCAAATTCTCTGGCTTTATTATTAAGCATTCAAGAGCTATGTTTGTAACCAGAGCTGAAAAGAAAAATCACTAAGCTCCCCAGTGAGAGCCCCTCAGAAATCAATCACAAGCCCACCGCCAAAAATCATTAAAGCAATTAACTTTCTGTTCCTTGCAGAGCACAAAGGCATAAACGTTCACACGTACACCAGCTTGCAGCTGCAGTGCTCAGCAATAGCTTAGGCCATTATATATTTTCCCTCTGTGTGTGGGACAGATGCAAAACGCAGATATAAACATCTTTTTGTAGAGATGAGGAAGGTGAAGCTGTTTGATGGCACTAAACTCCCACAAAAAGCAAAGCAAAATGTTAGTTATCAAGCACTACGATAGTCTTTGGTACTTAGCAATATTTGATAGCTTGGTTAAAAAAACCCTTTAGCACCAGTTCCTGAGCTGTGGGTATCTGCAGCAGAGAGGAGTCCCCACACATAGCAGCCCCTGCCAGGGCACGGGAACCAGCGCCGGGTCTGTATTTGCTCAGCCACTGTGAGCACGAAACCCATCAGCTCACTTACCAAGCCCTTTGTTTCTACCCCACTCCAAGCGATCGCTTTTATTGCCAACATAGTTGTTACAACCATTGTTTCAGCTGGCATTCTTTCTAATATTAATCCCACAAAATCATTAGCCATTTTAGGGGAGTGCAATGAATTTTAATAAGAAACAGCAACTCACAACTCCAGTTTAAGAATGCTGCGAAGATTTAAGGTGTAGAGCACTCAGCTGCTGTTTCCATGCAGTAAATTCTGTTGCTTAACTCTATCAGAAATAAGACCCTGTGTTTGTATTCTTCACTTTTTTAGGTCTCAAATGAAAAAAAAAAAAAAACCCAAACCCACTAAAATGTACGGCTCAATGAACTCAGTCTATACAGGGTAGAGGTTTTTGCAATAATCACATTTGTATTGGAGCAGTTTACTCCTTCCCCCCCAAAAAATATCAAACAAAAAAAAAACCTTTAGACAAGCCAGGAGCCCAGCTGAGACAAGCCCAGCACAAACACTATGCAAAATCACTTAGGAGGCATTACCATCTCAATAAGGCTGGACAGCAAAGGGAGTGCTTCTATCACAGTGTCATGGACAAGGAACAAAGAGGTTAAAGTGACTAACTAACATTCACCAAGAAAGTCTGAAGTCTTTCCGGTTGGGAAGCTGGAGCCCAGAAATGCGAACTCACTTCAATAGCTGCTTTCCATCTCTCACATTCGCACAAATAACAAACTCTCCTTTCAAAGTATCCACAATGCTAAGTTAACACACATACAAAAGTGTGTTTCAACCATGTCTTCAGATAGACCTTTGGAACATGTACCAGATGTAGGTACCCAAATTTAGGAAGTCAGGCATCCCATAGAGCTAATGGAGGGAGACCTGGACATTAATTTCGGTCTTGTGAATTGATCTTAAAGTGGATTTTATTTCCTTCAGCAGCTCAAAGGAGAGCAGCTTGCACAGCTGATGGCAATGCCTTCACAGGGACACATAGAGCAACACGCAAATGACTGCTGGGGTGGCAGGAGCAGCAGTTAAGCCATGGGAAGCACCCATGGATTTACGCTGGGCTCCCAGCACCTGCCCATGAACTTGCTGTAAAAGCTGTGTGTGCAGCCATTCACTGCACACAGTAAATAAAACAGTTATTTGACACCAAGCATACACCACAAGCACATGCTTTCAATATTGTAGTTTAGCTTTCAGAAGTCTGGAGAGCTGCTTTCTGTTTAGGCTCTGAAATGAGCGACTCTGAAGCACTCTGGCTCCAATGTCACCAGTTTTTAATAAAGGCTTACCCATCTCAGCACAGCGGTTCTGTAATTAGGATGCCCCCTGTGAAGAGACAGCTCAAGTCCCTGACTCATTTTCTCTCCACAACATCACAAAATTTAGCTTCTGCTCCTGCTCCCCAGATCATCTCAACCACATGCATGTTAATGTGCTGAATGCTCTTGGTGGGAGCAAACCCATTTCCTCCAAAGCAGGACTCAGGATTTCTCCTCAAAACTGCCCACTGCAGGGACTTCTCCCCACGGGCGGCACGTAGAGGTCTCCAGAGATGCTGTTTCCTGCAGAAGAGGCTACAGAGCCCTTCGACCCTCCCATGCCGCTCAACAACAAGTCTGAGTCTCTAATGCCACAGAAACCCCACTGTATTAAACATACAGCCTTGCGTTGCTATAAAAGCACAACTCAGACACAAGTTCTGATGTTTTGCATACTTTTATATATATCTATATATTAAAAAAAAAAAAAAAAAAAAAAAAAAAAAAAAAAGACCAAATAAATGCATTTTGAAAGAACTGGAGAACAAGTAGGCCAAGGCCTCCTAGTAATCTCCAAGATGCTGAGGCACCTCTTATAGTCACAGGTGGACCATCAGTGAGAGACCAGGGGAGAGGCTGAAGCAGATAATGGTCAGGTGGGAGCCAGGGAGAGTAAAGTACAATGGGCAATTAAAACACTTCAAAAAGTTGATTCTCAAATTAAATCTTAAAGTTGGAATAAACTTATGCAGGTTTTGCTTCAAACAGTGTTATCCATTAGGCACCTGGGTTCTCATTTCATTTTTTCAATGCAAGCTATTTGCACGCAAAGCAGCTGCAAAATATCAGTGCCTTTTATATTTTCCTTTAATAGTTCAATCCTTCCAAAGACACAGCTTCTGCACACTGACACCCTACCGAATGCTCTTATAGGGCATAAAGAAGTGCCTTTTGTCATTTATCATATAGCACAAAAGCAAATATTGCAGTTAGCACACTAAGAGTACTAAGGAACAACTACTCCAGTTCCTTCAGCTATTCTGAATTCGCCTTTCCAAACAAGTCCTTAACCTTGACAAATCAATCAAACAAAAAGAAGTCCCCAAAACACACACCTTGGAAATACTGATTATTAAACACCTACTATCCTTCCCAGCTGAGGGAGCAGGCATACATACCTTTCCTCACCAAAATGGGAACACACTTACCTTTAACGATCTGCTTGGCACAGGCATTATAAACTTGTTCCTGGGTTGTATTAGGAGGTAACACTCTGTCAAAGACATACGGCTTCCCTTGCTGAAAAGGAAACAGAAATTTTGTAAGATAAAAGTTCTTTTTTTGTTGTTTTAAGTAACAGTTATATAGCTTCCCACTTCCTTAACAAACAGGTACCCTCCAATGCAGAATTCACTTTACTGAAAAAGAAGACATTAAAAGGAATGGAAACTACAATATTTCTGTGGCTAAACAGATGTCACATCTCATGTTTTCCAAAAACAGCTTTTCTGTAGTCAGCAAATCTAAAGCAGCATATGTTTTCTGTGCATTCACATCTGGGTCAGTGCACTGCAGTTGCAGGAAACAACAGGCTGAAATAGCATCAATTGAACATTGATTATTTTCTGCCTGTTGCGGGATTTAAAGGAGAACATCCATACAGACATTTGCAAAAGATGTCACAGGGTCGTTACAGCCAAGCAGTGAAAGGCAGTGCAGGGGCTGGTTCAGGGCTTTGCGGGCGCCCGGCACTCCGTTCTGCTGACACGGGGCAGCCCAGCACAGCACGTGCTACTTCAGCACAAACGGCCTCACTTTATCTCCGTGCTAGCAAAATGCAAGCGTGTTTGTGTGTTCATAAAATCACAGGGTAAATACACAAAAGGCGGCAGATCGGTTCAACATTCTGTTGTCCTGAGCCTGTATTTTATGCGAAAATGCGAACAAAAATTTCACACACGGAAGCTTTTATCCATAACACCAATACATAACACCAATACATGTCTTACATGAAAAGCTCTTAAATAACATTTTGAGCTTTCATCAGGGCCATTTCCAGGTGTTGAAGCATCCCAGACGTCACAAACATTTAACTACCCCTCTCCCTAGCCATCACCAGGAGGCAACAGATGCAGTTTGTGCCAATGCACAAAATACACTTCAAGGTAGAAGTTCATCCTGATCAAACTGCAGGGTTTGAACTCTTCCCCCCACCTGGATGTCTTTAAGCTCCTTGGTTTCTGACAGGACGTTCTCAGGCTTCCCCAAAAGCACATCCATCCTGAAGAGCCAACAGTGCCCAAGTTTTTGTTCCAGCCCAGAGACGGGCAGAGCAAGCACGGAGGTCATCTTTAACCTTTTCATTTTTCCCTATTCACATTTTTGGAAACAACTACTCTTTTTTCCTTCCTTCCTTCCTCACCAATTTAGCTTTAATTAAATACCAAAAATCAGGAAGACTTCAAACATAATAGAATTTATCATTCAGGAAGGAAATAAGCATCTAAAAACAAAGTGATATTTTATGAGTTGATACTAGTAATTTTATCTGTGCACCTTCCCTTGACATAATTCTCCAAGCTTTCTTACTATCTCCTACCTACATGTCACCTTCCTTCCCAGTGACGGCTTCGTGTAGCCCCCCAGCACTAACCTTGGCCCCTGCTGCCTAACAGCTGAGCTCGGTGCTCAGACATCCCCCTACGATTCCTGCTCACGTCGCGCTGACAGAGAGATCCTCCTCTGGCCCTTGGGTATCACACAGAATTATGCTCTTCCTACATATTGCCAAGTTCTATTTTCCTAGCTCAATATTTAGAGTTTCCCACTGAATTTACAGAATTGACATTTAAGAAGAAATGTATTTGAGTCAAAGATGATTTTATTTAAAAAAAAAGAAAAAATCTAAGAATAAACACAGGCACCATTGAAACTATTTCTTTACAAACAGTACCATAGAGCAAGAAGCTATAAGCTAGTACAGTCCCATTTAATTAAAGATAACCAAGAACAGCTCCTGCTACCAATAAATAAACAAATAGAAAGTGCAGCCTCACTTTTGATGGCAGAGGAATGGCTCAAGCCAGAGGGAGCAATCTATTCATCAGTTCCCAGGCACATCTGTTTTCTCTGGATTTCCACCTCTTCTTCCCCCTCAAAATAGGAGCCTTACAGAAAGTACCACTCTTGTGCCCACTGCTCTTCAAGCAGAGGCATCTTCTTGCCCTCCAAGAAAAAGCAGCTTGTGGTCAGGTAATTATCAGTCAATAGCTCAGGGAAGCTTTTAGTCCTTGCACAAACAAATTGCCCAACTATTTCAAATCACACGGCTAATTTGTTAATCGCATGAGTTACTCAGCAAACCACAATTATGCTGAAACTTTGTCATTATTATCCTGGCTCACTGCTAATTCAGGTTGAAGAGTTCTACTGATGCAGTTAAAATGAATCACCTAGAATTGGCTTTAACATATCACAGAAAATACCATCGCTAGTGCATATATAGGTGAGGATACAGGTGATGAAGTCACGTGCTACGTAGGAGCTTAATTAATGGGAAATTATTTCCGAGCTACTTTTCTCTACCTTAAGTGCTCTTGTAGGAGATGTTTTATAAATACAAAATATAATTACAAGCCTGGAACCAGGATTTTACACAGAGCAAAAAGAAAAATATTGCCAGAGGCAATTCAGTTTTTCAGTCAAAACCCATCCCTGGCACAGCAGCGAATTTCTTCCTTGAAAGGTAGATTTCCTCTTGCTAGCCTTAGTGGCAACTCATAAAATCTTTATTCTATTTGTAAGTGTATGGTTTTTGAATGTCACATTCAACATTCAGAAACAGGTTAAATAACTGCCCCTGTACTTCTGCCCTGGGATGAGAAAACCCAAACCCTCTCCCTGCCCCCCACACTCCCTCCCCTTCTTTCTTCTCTCCTTTATCAGTTATAGATCCTGCAACTACACAGATGTTTGCTATTTTGTTGATTAAGCAAAAGAAATGAGCAAGATCTGTGTCTTTCTCCTGAAGGCCTCCCTCAAAAGACAGAGGACTGAAAAGATTAAAAACAGAGAGAAAATAAGCACATGTTAGTGGGACAATTAAACTTGGTTACTCTGTTTCATTTATTCACTTATGCTGGCTAAGAAAATACTACTGCCCTCCCTGCCATTTTCTAGCTTGCTCTTTAGAAACATTCCTACAGTAACAACTTGCACAGTAGACAAGAATTGAGAGGACCTACAACTTTATATACAACTTACAACTTCAAGTCCTCTGTTTATACATATATTTATTTTTTAACATGTATACATTTAAGCAAGCTTTTTTTTTTTTTCAAAATAATCTCAATACACTACATAGGATTGCAAAGTATCTCCAAGAGAAATTCCCAAATCTTGGCAATGCTCCTAAGACTCGGCTGAAAAATAAATTAAGGCAATCACTCACATATATATAAACTGGCACTGCAGAGCAGTTTGAGTCATGAAACAGCATCTGACAGAACACAACATTACTTTTTGCATAGCAAGCTTAATTATTGATCCACCTTATGAATATTTCTGTAGGGTGCCGGAATTTGGCACATGGCCAGAGATCCATTTTTAACTTTCATCCTCACCAGAAGGGATCCTTCCCCTCCTTGTAACAAATTCTGTTTGCAGAAATATTGCTTTATGTTGGTAGCATATGATCAGCCACAATTTAGGAAATGAAGTTTGAGATGAAAGAGAAGCTGTTAATTCACTTCATGGATGTACTTTTCACGGCCGCAAACGCTACTGCGTGCCCCGTTACGAGCACGGTGGCGGGCGGCGCTCCGCGTCGCGCGGCGGCTCCGGAGCTGGCTCCCGCTTACCTAACAGCTTATGTAAGAGGCAGACGTGGGCAGCGGGACAGCGCTGCGGCTCCGGCGCATCTCAGACACGACGCAGCCTCGCTGACAATGAATGGCAACACCGATTTCTTCTGGTGCGCTACAGTGGATGGCATGCATCCATTTTTGGTGTGAGAAATTAAGATAGCTTATATTCTCACTTTAACATGTTTATTTCATCTTTCCCTCACAAAATCATGTTTTAAGTAGGATAATTCAAGATTGCTTCAGATATGCGATAAACTACATGTTTAGTCTTGTCAGTTCAGCTTTACGGAACGTGCATCACAGCACACAAAGGAATGAGGAACCTGCCACCCAGACAGCCCCAACACGAGCAGCAAGAATTCTCTCCACCTCCGTCCCTCTTGTTTTCACAGGCGCTTGCATTACAGTGGTACACACAATAGATCAGTATTTGTTTAATTTAATATACTCTAATTTAACAGATCTTTTCAGGCCCATTCAAAGCTACCTTTGTAGTCTAATCATTTTACTTTGGCAAAGCACAGACAAACTTAATCTAATCTGTATGCTTTAAAACACTACTGTTATTTTAAATGCTGCTGGCATTTGCATTTCAGATTCATTTCCAGATTCTTCAGTAAAGTCTTCAGTTTACAGAAGACTGGTAAGAAAGCACGCCGAAGTAAGGCAGACTCAATTGTTTTCCAAATTTCTATAGTTAAACCAGACTCCAGCATTTCACCAAACCCAACTGGCTCTCTTGTATCAATGGATAGAAGAATTCAAAAATAGGGTACAATTCCTTCTGTATATAGAACTAATGCAAACTAATAGTGCAGAAGACAGAAAAATATCCACTTTGTACAAAAAAAAAAGAGCAAAAACCACAGCACGTGCAATTTTCCTACAAGACTGACACCCCAGAAACTGAAGCGCTTTGTAATTTTAATAGCAGGGGAGAATGGAAACAGAGAACAATTAATCATCTCTTTTATAAGAAAGCCATACAAGGTAACTTCTACTATAAAGCCATTTTCAAATGACTTTTCAGTGTTATTTAAATAACATAATTTTTGAAAACAAACAAAAATCATGTACCAGAAAATTATTTAATATAACAATATCCTCAGGCAGCTTGGAGCTGCCTCAATGGAACAGGGCTCAGACAACACTGTCCCATGGGACAGGCAGTTAGGGGAATAACAGTGGAACCTCTCCTTACCCTGGGGTTTTATAACACTATTTATACATGCCAAAATGAAAGAAGGAACAGAGATATTTCAAAATACAAACTGAAGTTTTTTTGGTAAAGTAAAAATCCCAAATTGCTGACCATCAATTCTACTTTCAGAAAAGAGATGCAATATAGGAATGTCTTGAACTAGGACAGTTTTATATCTTAATTCTGCTGTGGCCGCGTTGTGTTAATCTTCACTTTGCTTAAGATATCGGTTA